AAGAGTGTGAGGAAAGAAATTAAGGAGAAAAATAGAGAGATTAGACATTTATGGGACACAAAAATGGATTATCATCTGTTGATAATTGGACTGGTGTGAAGTGTTTTCGTGTTGGGTAAATTCACTTTACAAACTAAGAGATATATAGTGATTGAATGTATAAAATAAATTAAAATAAAAAATAATACACAATATTTCAGCACCTAGAAGTAATTATTATTATTACTTATTGGCACATATTTTAAAGACAAAATTCAGATTACACTGTATAAACATATCTAGATCTCACTTTAGCACCCCTTAGTATTTCTGCAGGTCACTATTGTCTGTGAAAAATGATTTTATTTATTTATTTATATTGCCAGACAGCACATGTACTCACCAGAGAGAGAGAAAGCACCCCACAATGGGCCATGGTTGCACCACAATCCTTTATCCCTCCATTCCATCCTGTTGGGATTTGGGGCATGCACACACAAGTTGCTGGGGCTGGACTTTGAACTATAGTAGGCCATGTGAGATCCAGTTCCTTTAGGTACTAGGTCATGGAGCCAATCCTGAAAATCGATTTTAAATAGCTGCTAAGCATTCCAGTATTTGAATGTATATGTGATTTATACTTTATAACATGCTTTTTCTAGTCTTTAATAGCTGGATATTTTGATTGTTTCCTTTTTTTTTTTTTTTTTTTTTTGGACAGTGTATGCACTTGCTAGAGAGACAGAGCGAAAGGAGAAAGCAGCATCCCTATGGGGAATGGTCACACTGCCATCTCTCCTCCATCTCTTCCTCCTTTCAGGACTTTGGGCATAGATGCATGTGTGCCCAGTATATTTTTCATGCTGCTGAGTCACATGGTTGGCCCTGTTGGAACTGGCTTCCCTAACCACTGGACCACAGAGCCAGACTACTTGTTTCCAAATTTTGTAGTTATAAATAATATTTTGATGATTATTGTTAACCATAAATTTGGAAGGTCTCTTATTGAGTCAATAGGCACTTTCTTTTTTTAAGTGAGAGTACAGAAGGGTGAGGAGAGTGACAGAGAGAAGAGAGAGACAGGTATTTTCAATAGGGTCTGCCATTCCATGATCCTCCTGTCCCAGCCTCCCAGCTAACTAGCTGGAACCACAGTATACACTACCACACCTCACCTATTTTAGATTGGGCTGGAAAATTTTTGCTATAGGGCACATGTGCTTGCTGGAGAGACAGAGACAGAAAGCCAGAAATCACCCATCCCCGCCCCAGGGGAGTTGGCCCTGCCAGGATCTTTTCTCCTCCGTTCTCCCTCAGGATTTTGGGCATGCATGCACATGTGCCTGGCGTAAATTTTAAGCAGCCAAGCCTGGAACTTGAACCTGGATCGACTACCCGAGAGTCCAGTGATGTAACCATTACTCGATCTGCTGGTCTCATGGGGTGATTTTTTTTTTTTTTTTGAGAGAGGTTTTTTTGCTATAGGGCGCGTGTGCTCGCCAGAGAGACAGAAAGCGAGAAATCACCCCCCACCCCGAAGGAATGGCCACACGCAATCCCTTCTCCTCCATTCTCTCTGGATCCTGGGCATGCATGCACACTCGCCCAGTGTGAGTTCAAGGCACCGGGTCCAGGACTCAAACTGCAGTTGACTACATGGGAGTTCAGCGACATAGCCATTACGCTAACTGCTGGTCCCTGTGTGAATATTTTTTAAAGCTGATAATACTCATTGCTAAGTTGTAGCCCAGAAAGAGTATATCAGTTTACACATACTTCTACCAGGACTATATACCATCATTGGACTTTTTTTTTTTTTAAATCAAACAGCATTTTTATAACCATGTCAGTGTACTACATAATAAAAAAGATCCACAAGGTTAAGGAAAAAAAAAATCCTTAAAATGGGATGCATTTTTGCACAAGAACAAATGAATCTAACTATATTTTCACATTAATAACACTACACTGAAGGGCAGGATTGAAGAGTGGGAGAGAAGAACTAATCCAGGTGACTTATAATATATACTCTATGTATGAAGTATTATGTACTTCAATATATACCCTCTACTATAAAGAAAAATGAACTGAAAATGAATTGGTAGAACTTGCTTTTCCACAATAGTATAACTTAGAAATTTTCGAATTACTTTTGGTACATATTCTAGGATAGGATAAATAAGTAAAACTAATTGTGACTAATAGGAGTCAAGTTTCTCAGTATTGGTGAAGAGGGTCACACAGAAAAAGGAAAGGCAAGAATGAACCCTGTAGTGTTAGAAAGCAACTAGAGAGATCGTGTAGTCACAATGTTTTAGATATACTACAGCTAATTAGGAAAGTGTGCTTGCTTTTAAGTACTATACTCTGAAATAATTAGATGTAGAGACATAGTGTTTTTAATTTACTTGCAAATGGTTCAGTAAAACCAAATCAAACCAAACCAAACCAAACCAAAAAATGTATAGGCCCAGCTTGGTAGTGCAATGGTAAAGTGCTGTGTGGAGTGTTAGATCCTACACGGCTAATGACGGTTCAAATCCTGACCTTGGTGACTTGAAAACCACACCAGGCAAGTGTGCACGTGTGTGTGTGCATACGTGAGCATGAGCTCAAGGTCCTGATGGGTGAAGGAATGGAGGAAAAAGGATTGGAGTGTGAACAGCCCCAGTGGAGGGTGCTTTCTCTCTCTTTGGTGTATGGACATATGCCCTCTGGCATTAAAACAAAAAAAAGGGGGGGGCGGGGAGTAAAGGAAGGGTGGACATAAGCACTGGTCAAAGAATAAATGCAGGTTTCAAAATCCGGAAGGGTGAACAAATAAGGAGAGGTTGAGGTGGTCACTGGAATTGAAAAGAACAAACGCATAATGTCTGCTAAGGAGAGTCAATGAGGGATTAAGAATAGACACAATAGGGACCAGCGGTTGGCATAATGGCTACATCGCTGGACTCCCATGTAGTGGACAGTGGTTCATGTCCCGGACCCAGTGGCTTAAACTCACGCTGGGTGTGTGTAAGTGCGTGCCCAAGATCCTGAGAGGAGAATGGAGGAGAAGGGTTTGCGATGTGGCCATCCCCCCCCTGTAGGGTGGGTGATTTCTCGCTGTCTCTTTCTGGCGAGCGCATGCGCCCTATAGCAAAAAACGCTCCAGAAAAAAAAAAAAAAAAAAGACAAAATAGGCTTAGTAACTAGGTCATCAGGAAAGGGTGTGTGTGTGTGTGTCCTTCCTGATACAGGACAGAGAATAAATTAGGACGATGAAACACCAGAGTATGATAAAATGCTGACCATCACAAGAATACGGGTTGCTTTGTGGTGATGACAAGATGACAATAGCCAGAGAATGAGCACAAGGGCTTAGGAGTATTATTATTATTATTATTTTTGGAGAGATTTTT